GTGGGATGTCATGGGCAGGTGGGCAGAGGTGCAGGCCAGGAGCGACCCGACTTCTGCTCCACCGGGTGTCTCGGGAGGCGACTCACGCACACTCCGCCTGTTGGCCCCTGAAGGGCTCCGGCTCACATGGAGGACACTTTGCGTACTGGAGGTTTCCTGTGCGCTCCTGCCATCTTTCTTTGTAGCTCTCTCAGGCCTCGTGTGTACCCTCTCTTTAGGAGCCCGTTGGGTTGGCCATGTCCAGCCCAGTAGCCAGGTGAAGCCCCATCAGCTGGCGTAATCCCAGCAGGGAGGCTGGAAGCACAGGGCTGTCCCTCCTGGAGGCACGGCCACATCATGAAAGAGGAGACTGTGTAAATGCTAATCCAGTTTATAAGTACAGCGCCACTGTGTTGTTTGTGAAACGCCCGCAGAAGGCGGCCATTGTGTGGCCGAGCAGGCGGTGTGACTGCTGCTGCTGCGAGTGCCAGGTCCGGGGCAGCAGCACACTCCGCTCATGCGAATGGTCACTTCAGGTCAGGTGTATCAACTGAAGGAAGCCCACCCCGAGCTGTCTTTTCTGCGTGCTTCCTCCTCGTCCTCCTCTTCCTCCGCCCACCCTCGCGTCTGCATTAGAGGCAACTGCCTCCTCTTCCCAGGCGAGCAGTGGCAGTCCACATCGGAGAAGCTTTCATTTTTATTTATTTGTTTATTTATTTATTATTTTGGGACAAGCCCCTGCTGTGCAGCCAGGCTGGCCTTGAACTTGCTCTGTAGCCTGGCAGAGCTCAAACTTGCTGTCCTCCTGCCTCAGCCTCCCACGCACGGGAATTCAGGGGGGAACCCACTCACCTGGCTCTGTGTAAGTGACTCTTAAATTTGGATACTTATAAGACTCTGCTTTATGACTTTACTTATTTGGGGTCTGTATGTTTAAAATGCACTTAAAGACTGCCATGCAGTTTGATGGCATTAGATTCAGGCTTTTGTAAATTCAGAAGTTCCGCCTATCTTTGCTGACACCCAGACGGTGTCAGGGGTCTCTGCGGCTGTCCTCCACTGCAACCTCTGTCCAAGGTCTTGGGGACATCTGGGGAGCCCTCTCTTTAGCCACACCTTGGCCATAAGTTAATAGTGCCCTCATGCAGATTCAAATTTGATTCTTTCACTTTTGTATTACTCAGTCCCTTCAGCAGAATAGAAATTAATAATTTCTTATTTTTATTACTTTGCTAAAATCATAACCTCACATTTATAAGATATTTTCCGCAATATATATTTTTTAAAGAACCATATCGGGGCCAGGGATATAGCTTAGTGGCATAAATGCCTGCCTGGAAAGCACAAGGTCCCGAGTTTGATCACTGGTACCACAAAAAAAAAAAAAAAAAAAAAAAAAAAAAAAAAAAAAAAAAAAAAAAAAAAAAAAAAAAAAAAAAAAAAAAAAAAAAAAAAAAAAAAAAATTAAACAAAGCCTAACAGTTGACTTACATCAAAGACCGGTTGTGCGGACCTACCCTGACCTTGGCGGAGGGGTGGGGGCACTGGAGAGGGGCTACCGGGGCCTCCCTGCTGCAGCCAGTGGAGGAATTGCTAGAAAGCAGCGGCTTAACAGTCTCATGCGGCTCTCCAACATTTAATGCATAGGTAATTTTCTACCCACACTCCCAAGTTGGGAAGTTGAGTCCACCTGGGTTTTACCCAGAAAAGAAGGGAAAAAGTAAAGTATCGAAAGAAGTGTGGCCACCTGCTCTCTCCTCCTCTGCCAAGGCATCTCCCTCAGGCTGGGCAGCGACCACAGGGCCAGCATCCTGCGCCACAGACGTGCCTCTGTTCAGGCCACCACGGAGATGTCTTCCTAGTGCTCCAGCCCAGTCCTGTGCATCTCAGGGAAAATGTTTGGTTCTCCTGGGGCTGCGGGCAACCCCAGCCCTCGGAAGAGCCTAAGACAGAGCGAAGCTGCGCTTTCTTCATTTCCCACCAATTTCTTTTCTTTTCTTTTGAAACTTTCTCTTCTGTATCCCGTTAGTCACAAGATTACTTCTGGATGAGAGCCAGCCAAT